GTTTGCTTATGGACATCATTATTTGAGGCCGCACGAAACTTATCATGAACCAACTAGAAAGTAAGTTAAATTCATTTATTTATAATTAAATTATTGTTTTTGTCCACGATTACATTATAATATATACCTTATAAATCACGTTTAATCAACTTGAATAATTAGTTGAAACGTCAAAATTTCAAAAATAATTTTCTTAAGACTTTTTAAAGGTTTGACATTAAAAAACGTAAATAAATTCCTTTTTTTTTCGTATGATTTAAGCATAAATTAATTAATTTTCGTAAAAACAACATGACGTTTCATAAAATTGACATTTAATTTTGACAAATTGTTGTGAAATTTGTTACAGTTGGTAACATTGAATTTGTCACATTGACGTTTAAACTTTATTCAAGAATTTATTTAAAAAAATGAGTTTTAAAGGGTAGTCATTTTCACAGAGTGAATAATAGCGGTGAATAATCATTATTTACGGGTAAAACCAACTTGACAGACTAATAACTATTTGAAACGTCAAAATTTCAAAAAACGTCAATTTAATATAATGTTTTTAGGACTTTCTGAAGGTTTGATATTAGAAAAACGTAAACAAAATCCTTTTTTTGTATGATTTAAGCATAAATTAATTAATTTTCGTAAAAAAAATCATGTCACAGAGATGGGCGGAGCTTATACCGACTCCAAACAATTTCGTTGCTAACGATAAGCCGCCATAGAAATGTCATTTGAAATGTTATTTAAAAAGTCACTTAGTGTATTTTATTTTAACACTAATTGAAAAATAGACAACCTATGCCTTGACGTCATAGAGATGGGCGGAGCTTATACCGACTCCAAACATTTTCGTTGCTAACTGTGTTCGTTCATTAGTGTTAAAATAAAATAAACTAAGTGATGACATTTCAAATGACATTTTTTAGCGATTTATCGTTAGCAATTGTGGTTAGCAACGAAATTGTTTGGAGTCAGTATAAGCTCCGCCCATCTCTATGACGTCAAGGCTTAGGTTGTCTATTTTTCAATTAGTGTTAAAATAAAATACACTAACACACGGATTATGAAGTTGTCCATTTGTCTATTATATGATAACTAACTTCAGGTGTAAAATGTTAACTTCGATTTTGACATATTTCTAATTTTCATTAAAAATCCTTTAAAATGAGTACAAACACGACATATTTATCTTCAATGTTAAGGAAGTTATGGTCAACTTCCGGTTAGAAATGTAATCGTCGTGAAAAATCCTTTAAAATGAGCCCAAACATGATACGTTTAATTCCAATATTACTCGAGATATAAGCAACCGGTTTGAAATGTCAATGTCATTTTGATATATTCTTAATTTTATGAAATGTCTTAAAATTTGTCACAAAAACAAAAATGTAATAAAAAAAAATAAAAAATTAAGGTTGGTATTAATATTTAAAAATTAATAAATTGCTATCGTCATTGTTGCTAACTTCGGGTTTAATGTTTTTTATTCTAACTTTTTTGTTTTTTGAGATAAGTGCGTCATGTTTGGACTCATTTTAAAGGTTATTTTATAAAGATTACGAATATAATAATAAAGTTAAAGTTGGCATTAAGACCTGAAAGTTTTTTCTTAACCGTGCGTCGAAACTCTTTCAAAAAACATCAAAATTATTTTTAGACGCATGGCTAAACCCGCAACTTTCTAGTTCTAGGTCCAGTGTTAGTTCTAGTTTTAGTTCAATAATAATATACAACGTAGTAATATGTTATGCTAACTAGCGTTACCACCACTGCCATTAGAACTAACACTAAACCGACAACTAGAAACATTCGGATTTAGCCGCACGTTTTTTAAGACGGCTAAACCCGAATGATTCTAGTTCTAGGTCTTGTGTTAGTTCTAGTGATAGTGTTAGTGTAAAACTAAAAGTAACACTAGACCTATAACTAAAAACATTCAAGGTTACTGTTTTTTATTTTCTTTTTTTTGAGATAAATGCATCATGTTTGGACATATTTAAAAGGTTTTTTAATAAAGAATACATCATGAAAGAACACCATGAAGTTGTCCATTTGTCTATTATATGATAAGTAACTTCAACCTCAATTTTATCATATTTGTAATCGTCGTGAAATATCCTTTAAAATGAGCCCAAACATGATATGTTTAATTCCAATATTACTCGAGATATAAGCAACTTCCGGTTTGAAATGTCAATGTCATTTTGATATGATTCTTAATTTTATAAAATGTTCTAAAATTTGTCACAAAAACAAAAATATGATAAAAAAATTCAGAAATTAAGGTTGGTATTAATATTTAAAAATTAAATTGTTTTAAAAAAGTTTTAAAATGTAGTCATTTTTCACAGAGTGAATAATAGCGGTGAATAATCATTATTTATGAGTAATCAACTTGACAAACTAATAATTATTTGAAACGTCAAAATTTCAAAAAACGTCAATTTAATTTAATTTTTTAGGACTTTCTGAAGGTTTAACATTAAAAAAACATAAACAAATTCCTTTTTTCCTATGATTTAATCATAAATTAATTGATTTTCGTAAAAAACATGACGTTTCATAAAATTGACATTTAATTTTGACAAATTGTTGTGAAGTTAGTTACTGTTGGTAACATTATTAAAATTATGCGTGATATGTTTTTAACAGATTAACAAACCTTTATTATATTTATATATTGACAATTAATAATTAATGATATTCCCTTGTTTTATGTTACATGAACAAGTCATAAAAACATTAATGCCATCTTGATTGGGATTGCTTTATGATAAATACTAGTATAACATTTGAACACTCCCCCTCAAGGCCAATCATAATTATAAACTTTTTTAATTTTGGTTTTGGTAACGGCTTTGTTAGCAATCATTTCTGCTTGACAATATTTTAAATTGCGCAAAAACACTCTTTTTGCGGCAATCCAATGACTTTCGTTGTAATTTGTGTTAAATTGACTTAAGAAGTTAACGCTAAATGTAATATCTTTTATCTATCAATAACTTCTGATCAAACTTTGATATGAATACTTTTTCATTATTTCTTCGTTTTTTACTTCGGGTTTTTGTAATTTTAAATTTGGGTCCATTGGTGTACTGACTGGTTTTGAATTTTCCATACCAAATCGCAGTAGAATTTCTTTTATATACTTCTTTTGTGAAATTTCGACCGTTGTTTCCCCCTCGATTTGGCTATGCGAGAATTCTAAACCGATACAGTAGTGTATTTTTCCCAAGTCCTTCATGTCAAAACATTGAAACAATTTCCTGTTGAAATTTTCAATTTTTTCTAAGTTTTTACTTTTTACAGGCTATTATTATATCGTCCACGTAGATTGCGACGAGAAGTGTATCCTCTTCATTTGATGTATAAATACATTGATTAGCATTGATTGGTTTTATTCCAATTTCTTTTAATTTGTTATTTAATTTTTTATACCATTATAGTCCGGCTTGTTTTAAACCATATAATGCCTTTTTTAACTTACATACTTTATTTCCATTTCTTTTGACATTTTTTTACTGTCTCATTGACTTCTTTATTTTCTATTATTTCTTCTAAGGTTTCTTTAAATAAATCTAGTGTTTTTATATAAATTTCTTCACTAATTTCACCGTTCAAATATGCTGTGATAACATCCATTTGATGTATGTGCATATTATATCTATAGCTATAGCAATTAATTTTCTTATAGAGCTTAATCTTGTTACTGGTGAATAGGTTTCATGAAAATCAATTCCTTCCTGCTGTGTGAAGCCTTTTGCTACTATTCTAGCTTTACATTTTTCTAAAGAATCGTCTTTATTTAATTTTTTCTTTAGTATTAATTTGCATCCAATTATGTTCTTATATTTTGGTTTTTCAACCAATTCCCATGTCTTCGGTTTGTTTATTTTCTCTTTCTTCTCTTGCTTCATATTCTTCCAGTATCTTAATTCGCAGTACCTCAGGTTTTGGTAGATCGTCTCTGTCGGGTCCATACACAGTATTAAGTCTGATCGTACTTTACTGTCCTTTATTTCCCATTCTCTAATTTTTTTGATTGATTCATCATTTTCTGGTATTAAAGTTGGTTTTTTTAATATTCCATTTACATACTCCCATGCGTTTTTAATTAATATTGCTTCCATTTGTAATTTCCACGTTTCCCAGTTATTTTTTTTAAGAGGATCAATTTAAAACTTGTAGACATTTTTTTACTTATTTTAGTTTGTCTTCTTTTAAAGGTTTGTTTTTATTACTGTTTTCTATATGGGCTCATAACCTATTAAAATTATGCGTGATATGTATGTTTTTAACAGATTAACAAACCTTTATTATATTTTATGTATTGACAATTAATAATAATAATATTGTTTATGTTATATAAACAAGTCATCATAGTCGTGTTTTCCCTATGATTTAAGCATAAATTAATTAATTTTCGTAAAAAAAACTTGACGTTTCATAAAATTGACATTTAATTTTGACAAATTGTTGTGAAGTTGGTTACAGTTGGTGAAATTGAATTTTTGTCACATTGACGTATAAACTTTATTCAAAAATTTATTTAAAAAAATGTGTTTTAAAGGAGGGTAGTCATTTTTCACAGAGTGAATAAATAGCGGTAAATAATCATTATTCACTAGTAATTAATTTGACAGACTAATAATTATTTAATACGTCAAAATTTCAACAAACGTCAATTTAATTNAATAATGTTGACCGTGTAAGGTGAAAAATTTTATTGACGGTAAATATTGATGGAGTGTTGATAAAAATCGGGATTTTCTGATTTTCGGGCATCAATACTGAAAATTGGAGGGGATATTGATAATACTATTGACTGTGTAGGGTTGGCGCCAATATTTCCATCAATACTCAGTGTAATAAACTCAACATTCAAAATTAAATACTTCTATTTAATTGTAGTAATAACAAAACATATCTATCAGCACACTGAAAAAACATGTTGTTTTAGCCCAGATGATTTGAAAAAAAGGTTTAATTCTGATTTTCTACATTACACTCAGTTTAGTTCAAGCAGCGCGTCTGTGAAGAAGAGGTGAAAATGACCGACCCATTAATTGTAGACGTTCAACACGATGGAGATGGTGTTCGTTCCAGTTACCATGATTATGACACTGATTACAAACTATCTCCATCATTCTTATAGAACATATATAAAGGTTTCACAGGTTACTATTACAGCTTTGCTGATAGTTGCTGGGGACATTATGGCAAGTACCTCAGAGTTATATACTTACCTATACTTCCTCTCATATTGCTATCCTGTCTTTTCAAAAATGGTTCAACCATCTGTAACAGTTTGTTTCATCTATTAAAAAATAGTTCTTGAAATCATCAACATCGTAGAGACTGATTTCTTTCAACAGTACTAGATGAGAATATTCATTTCTCTTCTTCAACCATTCTTCCATCCTGTATTTGCGTTTCACTGGACGAGTAGTTCCAAGTGCCAAAATAGTATCTACACAAGCTTTTGTACGATTATCTATATTTGGAAGGGAAAAATAACTACGTAGATTCACCTTGTTCTTGGTAAATACGTAACTTATTGACAAAAGTATTAACAGTAATACTGATCATGTAAGGTAGTGAAGTATTGAGACTGGTTACCACGAGGATTGATGGTTGTATTGTCAATACTGATATTATCAATACTATTGATCGTGTAAGGGCCGCTTAAGACTTTATAAAAGTTTTGACATTAAAAAAACGTAAACAAATCCTTTTTTTCGTATGATTTAAGCATAAATTAATTAATTTTTGTAACAAAAAACATGACGTTTCTTAAAATTGTCATTTAATTTTGACAAATTGTTGTGAAGTTGGTTACAGTTGGTGACGTTGAATTTTTGTCACATTGACGTATAAACTTTATTAAAAAAATTATTTAAAAAAATGTGTTTTAAAGGAGGGTAGTCATTTTTCACAGAGTGAATAAATAGCGGTAAATAATCATTATTCACTAGTAATTAATTTGACAGACTAATAATTATTTAATACGTCAAAATTTCAACAAACGTCAATTTAATTTAATTTTTTTATGACTTCCTAAAGGTTTGACATTAAAAAACATAAACAAATTCCTTTTTTCGTATTATTAAGCATAAATTAATTAATTTTCGTAAAAAAAACATGACGTATCATAAAATTGACATTTAATTTTAACAAATTGTTGTGAAGTTAGTTACAGTTGGTAACATTGAATTTCTGTCACTTTGACGTTTAAACTTTATTCCAAAATTTATTTAATCAATTTCAATAGTGGTCGTGGACAAAGTATAGTATTCTACTTCTATATAATATGCTCGTATAATAATATACTATTTTTTGATTAGATTTTTCCCTAATGAAGTAATGAGAGTACCGCTTTATGAAGCTGTACCCGTCGAGTTAGTGATGGAACATTGTTGGGTAATGGATTTAAACACTTATTGTAAAGGTCGTCCAATGGGTGCGCCGGAAAAACACATTTACATCTGCGAGTATCGCGTCGATAAAACAGCGCGACTTTTTAGTAAAGTCTCAAAACCGAAATTTCCCATTTGTATTAAAAGTTACGCTTTCGAACGTTTCGATACGCGATTAAAAGTGTCTCGAACTTATACCCCCCACGATTTAGATCCCGCCATGGTTAAACCAAGGGGAAGAAAACCGCAGGAAACGGAAGATTTTCAACAACAACAACAAAGAGATCGAGCTAGAAGTGTAGCTCAAATTAGTATCCAAGTGCCAGTTGTTAGGGTAATAAAGATGATTTATTTAAATTAAAATTGTTTTTAATAAAATTGCTGTATTTTTAGACAAGAACTGAACAAAAAGCGCGATTAAATAAGATCTTATTGATTTTATTGAATAAATTGCCGACGAAACAGCCGTTGGACGTGTCTTATTTGTTGGAGGGAGGAAGACGTCGTAAAAAAACCACTTGATATTTGGAGTACTTTAGTTGAGCTATCGGGTGATATAAATATAAAGTAGAAAAAAAGGATGAATATTAAGGTAAAAAGATAATTAATTGAAAAAAAATTTACTTTGTACATCACAAGTTTGTAAAAAGCTAGTCATAGTGTTTCTTGTTGATTTTAAAATCCGATCGTACATCAATGTTTTATGATTATTTATTTGTAAATAGCTTTTATGAAGGTGGAATTACGCGATTTTAAATAACCCTAAAAAGGATGTTGGTGGGGTTATAAGTAAGCTATCTCAAGTTTTATTTTTAACTTTTTTACCTGATTCGTTTTTAAGGATTTTCTTACTATTTTTTTTTTTTTTATTGATAGGTAGATGCACATTACAGTATTTTATTGGTTTTTAAATCGACAGATCTTTATTTTTATCTCTTTTTTTATTTTTTTTTGCACCAATTAGGTATATAACGAAATTTTAACGTTTTCAAAACTTTTTATGAAAACATTTTTAACTTAATTTAATTTATTTAAAATGAAATCAAATTAATTTTAACGTTGATGCCTTTATCTTGACCAGTGATTAATCTTTTTTTTTTAATTTATTTCAAAAAGGAGTTATCTTTTTTTCACAAATAAAATTTGTATGTATTAGAAAGGGTCGTTTACATCCTTTCTCACTTGGAGTTTTTAAATTACATTTTTCATGTTAGTATATTTTATTAAAATAAAGTTGTTATATTTGTATGATAGTATCTTTTATATCATATAAAAATCACATCTTTAATCCAAATCCTTTCTTTTTTAATCAATGTTTAATGTGCGAAACGATCCAACAACTCCATAATTTCCGTTATCACCCCCAAATTTATCACTTTTCGTTTTCAATTTTGCTTCATTAATTTCCCAACGAGATTTATCCAAGAAAAAATCTCGATTTTCCATGATTTTTTCCCTCCATTTAGCTGCTAAATCATTAATGTCACACAAACTTCCTCCATATTGAATTGGAAGTAATTCTTTCGGGATAAAATCGTTTAAAGTGTTCGAATTTGGTGTGTGATAATGAATCTAAAACGTTTTTTTATAACTCCCTATACTCTATTTTTTAAGTCGGAGGACTATGAAGTTGTCTATTATATGATAACTAACTTCAGGTGTAAAGTGTCAACCTCAATTTTGACATATTTGTAATCTTCATTAAAAATCCTTTAAAGTGAGTATAAACACGACATACAGGGTGTTTTAAAACAACGTTTAAATGTTTATAGGGGTAGTACTACTCCAAAATTGTTAATAAACATGGATTCGAAAATCAACCGTTCTTGAGATACAGGGTGTTCAAATTTTTTGGGACTCTACGTTTTTTCTTTTGAACTATAACTACTACAGATTTGATACTTAGCAAATCGATACAGTATGAAACTGTCCCTTTTTTGAGAGTAGTATGATGTTTCCATTGCTTCCGGTTGGACCGGAAGTGAAAATAAATACCACTATTTTTCAGAAAATTCAAAAATTTTATTTAACAATTTGTTAGATAGCTTAATTCTAAACAACATTAATTTGAAAAAAATGTATTCCTTAAGGTTTCCGAGATAAAAAAACATTTTTTAAAATAATTTATTATTTTACTACTTAAAAAGTTTAATGTACGCGACACCTGTAAACAATCTTGAAGACTTGCGGCAACGAACAGAACAGGGTTGCCAGATAATTCGTGAAAACTACGGCTTATTTGAAAGAGGTCGACATTTTGAACATCTTCAGTAAAAAGCTTCGTTTTGATGATGCTTATAAACTTTGTAAGTTTTGTGAAACTTATATTAGTATTACATAATAAATTATTTTAAAAAATGTTTTTTTTCAGAAACCTTAAGGAATACAATTTTTTTTGAATTAATGTTGTTTAGAATTAAACTATCTATCCAATCGTTAAATAAAATTTTTTAATATTCTGAAAAATAGTGGTATTTATTTCCACTTCCGGTCTAACTGGAAGCAATATAAACATACTACTCTCAAAAAGAGACAGTTTCATACTGTATAGATTTGCCAAATATCGAATCTGTAGTAGTTATAGTTTAAAAGAAAAAAGGTAGAGTCCCAAAAAATTTGAACATCCTGTATCTCGAAAACGGTTGATTTGCGGAACCATGTTTATTAACAATTTTCGAGTTGTTTTCGACTATAGTACTACCCCTATAAATTGTAATTGTTGTTTTGTCTTCTAAACATCGTGTGATATTGGATATGAAGGTTAAATTATTTTTTCTTGCACTATATCGATGTTATTTATTTATTTATTTTCTTCTACATGTTTCGAGGAAACTGGGCCCTCATCATCAGGAAGAGATCGTCAAATTTATGAATAAAAACTTCACTATGTTCTGTTTCCGTTATTTGATATTATTGATGATTATTGATTATTTATATAACGTTTGATATCTCCTCGTTGTTCTGGTGTGTTTATTTTTTGGTAATGGAGGATAGTAATGCATAAATTTGACGATCTCTTCCTGATGATAAGGGCCCAGTTTTCTCGAAATATGTAGAAGAAAATAAATAACATCGATATAGTGCAAGAAAAAATAATTTAACCTTCATATCCAACCCCTATAAATATTTAAACGTTGTTTTAAAACACCCTGTATTTATTTTCAATATTAATGAAGTTATGGTCAACTTCCGGTTAGAAATGTCAACCTCAATTTTGACATGTCTGTAATCGTCGTGAAAAATCCTTTAAAATGAACCCAAACATGATATGTTTAATTCCAATATCACTCGAGATATAAGCAACTTCCGGTTTGAAATGTCAATGTCATTTTGAAATATTCTTAATTTTATAAAACGTCTTAAAATTTGTTGCAAAAACGAAAATGTAATAAAAAAATTCAAAAATTAGGGTTGGTATTAATATTTTAAAATTAAATTGTCATCTTCATTGTTGCTAACTTCGGGTTTAATGTTTTTTATTCTAACTTTTTTGTTTTTTGAGATAAGTGCGTCATGTTTGGACTCATTTTAAAGGTTATTTTATAAAGATTACGAATATAATAATAAAATTAAAGTTGACATTAATACTTGAAAGTTTTTTCTTAGCCGTGTGTCGAAACTCTTTCAAAAAACATCAAAATTAAATCTAGGCGCACGGATAAACAGGAATATTTGTAGATCTAGCGTTAGTTCTAGTTTTTATGCAATAAAAATATACAACATAGTAATATCTTATGCTAACTAGCGCTACCTACCACTGCCACTAGAACTAACACTAGACCTAAAAACATTCAAGGTTAATGTTTTTATTCTCTTTTTTTTTTGTTTTTTTGAGATAAATACATCATGTTTGGACATATTTTGAAGGTTTTTTTAATGAAGAATACATCATGAAAGAACACCATGAAGTTGTCCATTTGTCTATTATATGATAACTATCTTCAGGCAAAGATTAAAGAGTAATCAGATGCTAGGCGCTAGAGTGAGAAACTCTAGTTTTGAAAAGAGAGAGAAGACATTCCAATTTAAACGTCCTGACAATAACAAATCTAATCTACAAATGTGACAGTTGGTATATTCTCAAGGTCTATAGAACATAAGGTTACCTAATTCCCTATGCCTTTGTAGTATCGATTATTACCCTGCAGATTAACGTCACTGGTTCGATACAGTCAGAGTAAAAGATAGCCTATACGTGCCTATACTGTGGTACAGTCTATATAAAATATTTAAACCTCGCATCGTGTTGTGTTGTTCATAGAACCAACTACGTCACTGACCCACCTTGCCCCTCAGAGGAGGAGAATCGGCATTGGGTAACCTTATGTTCTATAGACCTTGGTATATTCTACCCTATACAAGATGCGATGCTAGAGTGAGAAACACTAGTTTTGAAAAAAGATAGAAGACATTCCAATTTAAATGTCCTGGCAATAACAAACCATTGCGATTTAAAGGTCCATACCGTTCAAGATCATAAAAAATGGCAGCCTTACATCAAACGTGCTGACACGAAGCGTCGCATCTTGTTTACTCTTTAATCTTTGCTTCAGGTGAAAAATGTCAACCTCAGTTTTGACATATTTGTAATCTTCGTTAAAAATCCTTTAAAGTGAGTACCAACACGACATATTTATCTTCAATATTAATGAAGATCAACTTCCGGTTAGAAATCAACCTCAATTTTGACATATTTATAATCGTCGTGAAAAATCCTTTAAAATGAGCCCAAACATGATATGTTTAATTCCAATATTACTCGAGATATAAGCAACTTCCGGTATGAAATGTCAATGTCATTTTGAAATATTCTTAATTTTATAAAACGTCTTAAAATTTGTTTCAAAAACGAAAATGTAATAAAAAAAATTCAGAAATTAGGGTTGGTATTAATATTTTAAAATTAAATTGTCAACTTCATTGTTGCTAACTTCGGGTTTAATGGTTTTTATTCTAACTTTTTTGTTTTTTGAGATAAGTGTGTCATGTTTGGACTCGTTTTAAAGGTTATTTTACAAAGATTACGAATATAATAATAAAATCAAAGTTGACATTAACACCTGAAAGTTTTTTCTTAGCCATGCGTCGAAACTCTTTCAAAAAACATCAAAATTATTTTTAGGCGTGCGGCTAAACACAAATATTTAGGTCTAGCGTTAGTTCTAGTTTTTGTGCAATAAAAATATACAACATAGTAATATCTTATGCTAACTGGCGCTATCACTAAAACTAACACTAGACCGAGAACTAGAAACATTCGGGTTTAGCCGCACGTCTTTCAAGACGGCTAAACCTGAATGATTCTAGTTCTAGATCTTGTGTTAGTTCTTGTTTTAGTTCAATAACAATGCAACCTAGTGATATTTTATGCTAACTTGTGCTACCTACCACTTATCAGGTAGTCTTAAGAGAGGTACAGCTAAACGGAATGTTTCTATTTCTAGATCTATAGTTCGTTTCTTTTCTATAATACTTGTCAATGTAAATTTTTTAGGGTTTCTGTTGATATTATCTATCTAGGATTTTTATAAAATTTATGTTGTTTTCCTGATTTTTAGTAACATTTTCAGTAACTAAATAGTTGAGGTGAAAATACATTTTAATATACAGAGTATCCCGAAATGGCTTGTACAACGCAAGACCACAAGTACTTTAACCAAAAATATGATGATTTAACTCAACTTATCTATATACAAAATTGCTTAGTTTAGCCGCTAGAGGGCGTTAAACATTTATGATGAATCAGAGATAAAACGCAAAACAAAAAATACGCTGTCAAGTTTAAGTGACAAACTGTTTTTGTTTTTAAAATTAATTATACCTGGCCAACTATTAAAAAAAGCGTTATTAGTGTTACCTTATATCACTCATTCCCGCTTGTGGAGATTTAAAAAACCCAACTGAAATTTTGTAAGAGAGAAAATAGTTTCTAAATTAAAGTAACTACTCAGAAAAAAAGAATGGTAGTGTTTCTAAAGGGGATTAAAAAGATATGGATGTATAATTTATTGTGACAAAGTTTTTAAGCACCCTATAATTTTCGAAATTAGTGTTTATTCCACAAATAGCTGTAGTCTACTGATACAAACGCATGACCAAAAAATGAATAACGTAAATTTTTAGATAAATATAATTTTAACGAAGTACATATTTATTGTAAAAACGTGCTGCAAAGTAACTAAATAGAACAAAACGCCTTTTCTAGGTAAATAAATTGCAAATAAACACTCCACAACATTTTTTATGCACCTTTTCTTTTTGAATAACGAAAGCTCAAACGTCAGTGTGACATATCTATTTCAAAACATGATAAAACAAAACTCCCTGCACAACTCCCTGTTAATTTTGCCAACTTTACAACAATTTGACAGGTATTATAGGAAAAAAAATGAACTATAGTGTTAGTTCTAGTGCTATTATTAGAGGTTTTAGTGTAATGTCAAATTATATTGATATGTTGCATTTTATGTGGGACAAAGTAAGTTCAAAACGCCCTGATTTTTATTATGTTTCTACAAATAAGTACATAATTAAATTCGTAACTACAATTTACTTAAAATCCTCTCTGGTTTTAAAACTCCCGCCAAAAATGTAAAGGTGACTTTTCATTTTACTCCTCCGAATTAATAAATAGAGTATAACATAAATTAATTAAATACTTACTAATTGTGAAACATCCGATTTTATAAAGGGTTTAACTAAAGAAACACATTTATCGAGGAATGTAGGGACATTAACTACATGGATAGCCCTTAAACGAACAGGATGCGCTTCCTAATACAATTAAAAAAATTACTTTAAGTTAAATTAGTTAAAAATTAATACATACTTGTGTATAAGTCATATATTTCCTTAAAATCGATAAATTTACTTTAGTGATATGCTTCAAACTCATTCCGGCCATATCAAAAATCGGTATTTCCCCTTCAGATTCCTCAAAATCAGTATACATTCTTAAATCGGCAACCATAAAAAAAGCTTTTAACGAATCTGCATAAACGAATCTATCTGGGTTGGGATCCCTCAATCGATATAAAAACAATTTATATTTTTCCTTTGTTAACACAGGTAGAGGTAAATAATCGCTAAAATCGCCATAACAATAAAATTCGCAATAATTTTCTAAAATATCTCCTACACCGTTCCAAAAATGTTTTGAATCTCCTCGTTTTTCGGATCTCTATTCGAGAAAATTTCCGGCATATCTCTCCGCAATCTAAAGCAAATTTCCATCAAGTTTTTTGCTTTTTCAATGCTGTAATCGCTACTAAAAAGAAATTTAGAAAGGTTTTGATCGTCTAAAAATAGAAATTAGAGATTAAAATAAGTATTTAATTTAAATTGGTTTTATTTACCGATGTTCTGTGGTAAATGCTGATTAATTTGAAGCCACCCTCTCAAAATTTCGATTTGATCCTTGTATTTTTCAATAATCATGGTTAAAAAGTTAAAAGACCTGGTTTTGTGTCGGCAACCTCAAGATTATTGAGCTTTCCAACTTTCTAATTTTTTTAAATCCTCTTCGAAATGAATCTACTCAAAGTGGGGGATTTAGAAAGTTTGTTTATAACTTTTTTTTAATTAATTAACTTTTTATTCAAATAATTCAGGGCTTAAATTTAGAAATAGTAGATCATAACAGATGACGCTATAATCTATAATTAAAATATTTTTTTTAAATCATTTTGATTCGTTATTAAAAAAATTTTTATATTTAAATCAAAAATTCTTTACAACACAAAAAAAACATTCTTTTTATTATTATTTTTTTTATTTAACATTAATTTTATTACATTTATCAAAGTTAATCCATTAAAAACTAGATGGCGCAATTTAAATCTAACCTAAAAAATGTTTTGACATTTGATGTTTACATCTTATTGTCTCAAAACAATAATAATAATAATGGAAAAGCCAGACGATAAATTTCGTTACATTTACAGTTCATCTGTAACGCAATATGTTTATATAAAGCTGTAAGTGTCTCATTTTTACGATTAACAATTAATTTTGTATAATTTTTTTAGAGGCGTTTTGGAAGGGTACACCAAAAACCCTGATATGCGAGCTTTGGTGGATAACCCGAGTTTGGAGTTTACTGGACCATATCAACCTGGTTTATCAGAATTATTAGTGAAATGTGAACTTTTTGATCAAGGTTATAGTATTGCATTACCAGTTTGGAGTACTCCAAAACGATTTACAACACGTTATAAGTAACTAATTTATAATTCAAATCTAATTAATTTAATGGTATAATTCAAAAATCGTCATGTCGCTTAAAAATAGACAATTTTTTTTGACGCATATTTTCAGGTGAAATACGGTTGTTTCTTAGGTTTGTTTACCATTTATAAACTAAAGATAACCTATCTATATCTGATGTCCTACCCCTCTCTTTAACTTATTTGTTCATGAATGCTAGATACTGTTGGCAAAAGACTAATTATTGCTAGTAAAAGACTAAAAACTGCTTGGAAAGAGGAAATACTATTTCAAAAAGTTACCTATTACTTCTAAAATGCTAGATATTGCAGAAAAAGACCACAAGTTACTTGGAAAAGACTAGATACTATTTTCACAATAATACTTATTGCTTCCAGAATGCTAAACACTGCATTTGAAGGTTTTGACCTACTTGGACAGGCGGAAAACTGCTTTCAAGACTACTTATTGCTTTCAAAGACTAGACTTTTTAGATAAAAAAACTAATAACTACTTGGAAAGATTACAATCTGCTTGGAGAAGACTAGATAATGCTAACAAACAACTACAAACTGATTGGAAAGATGACATACTGCTTCCATAAGACTACTTACTGCTTTTAGAGAGCTATATCCTACTAGAAAAGATTAGGACCAGCTTGGAAAAGACTAAATATTGCTGAGAGAAACTATTATCTGCTTGGAAAGACAAGATACTGTTTCCAACAGACTATTAACTACTTTCAGAACTCTTAATATTGTTGGAAAGACTACTAATTGCTTGGAGAAAGCTAGATATTGTTGGCAAAGACTATTTAATGCTTTCAGAAGACTATATACTGCTGCTAAAACACTACTAAGTGCTTGGAGATTACAATACTACTAGCTGAAGACTATTTACTGAAACTATTCTTCTGTTGAGTGATATCTTTCTGTGTCCCTTCCATTACAGATTTAAAAATTCTTTGTCCACATCTATAAACTAAAGATAACCTAAAATCTTTAACTTATTGGTTCTTGAATAGATAAATACTGTTGGCAAAAGACTAAAAACTGCTTGGAAAAAGAAAATACTATTTCAAAAAGTTACCTACTGCTTCTAAAATGTTAGATACTCCAGAAAAAGACCCCAACTTACTTGGAAAAGACTAGATACTGTTTTCAAAATAATACCTATTGCTTCCAGAACGCTAAATACTGCTGTTAAAAGTGTTGACCTACTTGGACAGGCGGAAAACTGCTTCCAAGGCTACTTATTGCTTTCAAAGACTTTGGAAAAGAGATATGCTTTTCAAAAAGTTACCTACTGCTTCCAGAATGTTAGATACTGCTGGAAAAGATTATAATCTGCTTGGAGAAGACTACATAATGCTAACAAACAACTACAAATTGATTGGAAAGACGAGATATTGCTTGCATAAGACTATTTACTGCTTTCAGAGCGCTATATACTACTAGAAAAGATTACGACCTGCTTGGAGAAGACTAAATACTGCTGGGAGAAACAATTATCTAGTTGGAAAGACAAGATACTGTTTCCAAAAGACTATTAACTACTTCAGAATGCAAAATATTCTTATAAAGACTACTAATTGCTTGGAGAAAGCTAGATATTGTTGGCAAATACTACTAAATGCTTGCAGATTACAATACTACTTTTTGAAGACTATTTACTGAAACTATTCTTCTATTAAGTGATATCTTTCTGTGTCCCTTCCATTACATATTTAAAAATTGCTGCTACAACCCTCGATTCTTTGTCACTCAGATGCGACATATCCTTTTAGAACGGGTTAGGGCCCCCCTCTTTAAACGTTTCGTTCGGATCTACCTAATTTACTGATTTATTTCAGAATTTTGTGTAGAAGTTTCACTTTGAGTTGGGTTGAGTAACATTTAAACCAGTGCGACTTTCTCAAATGTCGGGTTGGGTTGTAAATTCCGGGTTGGGTTAGTGGTAGCTAACGAGCGCTACCTACCATTGTCACTAAAATTAACATTAGATCTAGAATTAGAAACATTCGGGTTTAGCCACACGTCTCTAAAGACGGCTAAACCCGAATGATTCTAATTCTAGGTTTTGTATTAGTTCTAGTGATAGTTAGAATAGAACTAACACTAGACCTAGAACTAGAGAGTATCGGGTTTAGCCGTGCGTCTTCAGACGAAGACAAATTTTACACTAAATTTATTATTAAGTTATAAATTATTAAAATAATTTAATATGTCATTTGTATTTTGAGATTATGGGGAAACTTAAAACATTAAAAACTCCATAAACTCTGAAATCGGAGCGTAAACTTCAAACACATGGCGCTAGTATCTACGGTAGCTATGGGTAAATACGGTATCAACCCATAAAACTGCATTACAGTCATCACTATCCCATTTTAAGTGGTAACACAACGAATCTTATAATCTGCCAGCAATATCTAATCTGCTCGCAGTATTTAATTCTCTGCCAGCAGCATCTAGTATTCTGAAAGATATGTTTAGTATACTGTTGGTTCTATTTAGTCTTTTGCAAGCAGTTTTTAGTCTTAGACAAGCAGTATTTAGTCATCTGCCAGCAGTATTTAGTATTTAGTCTTCGACCAGCAATATCTAATCTTTCGCTCGCAGTATTTAGTCTTCTGCCAATCGCATCTAGTATTCTGCAAGAAATATATAGCATCCTATTGGCAGTATTTAGTCATCTGCCAGCAGTATTTAGTCTTCGACCAGTAATATCTAATCTTTCGCTCGCAGTATTTAGTCTTCTGCTAGTAGCATCTACTATTCTGCAAGAAATATATAGCATCCTATTAGCAGTATTTAGTCTTTTGCAAGCAGTTTCTACTCTTTCACCAACAATATTTAGTCTTCTACCAGCAATGCTTAGTCAACTGCCCGTAGTATTGAGTCTTCTACCAGCAATATCGAGTGCTCTGCAAGAAGTATTTAATCTTCTATTGGTAATATCTAACCATCTACAATCAATATCTAGTTTTTTGCAAGCAGTAGATTGTTACCGCAGTTATTTGGTTATATTTTTGAAAATACCGCTATAACTACATCACCTGAATACCCAAACATGATGTCACTTTCACTTAAAACAATCTCATTACGATTTAAGACTGATTTACTTAATACCGTACTAAAATTATTAAAACAAAATGTATTCATATTACACATACAGTGAATTGGAATATGTGTATATTGCAGATAAGATGCAATATACAAAAATATATTTTCATAGAAACCAGGGCGTACTTCCTACTTACTTTGTCCTACATAAAATGCAACATGTCTGAATGTTAACATCTGATATCACTATATTGCATATTTTTATTGAATTAAAACTAGAACTAACACTAGACCTAGAACTAGAAACATTCGGGTTTAGCCGCACGTCTTTAAAGACGGCTAAATCCGAATGATTCTAGTTCTAGGTCTTGTATTAGTTCTAGTGATAGTGCTAGTGCAATATTAGAACTAATACTAGACCGAGAACTAGAAACATTCAGAAATTTAGCTGCACGTTCCTCAAAATGGCAAGTTATTTTCACTAAACTAGGTGAGATTACGTATATTTTCGAATGAAATACCCTTATTTTTCTTAGGCTTTGGATGCATAACGACTGACTACCTGTCGTTAGATAGACTGTATATCAATAGCAGGGTTGAGCATTTTTGCACTACCACTAAATTGCACTACCACTGTCTATTTAGTGGTAGTTAAAATGAAAAATCCATAATCACTGATAATTTAGTGATAGTGAAAAAAATTGCATTATCACTTTAGTCAAACATGATTTTTAACTAAATACATTTGAATTTATATTTTATATCCGATATTGGTTGTCAACTAGTTTGTTGATAAAAATGCTTCTTGGTGTATAGGCGGTGTAATTAAACAATGTCATTAAGCCGATCTAGCGAAATAAATCACGACTTTTTGGTGTCAACAGCAGACTAATTTGTTTGGTAATATGCTAATATGGTTTATTGAATACATTTTGAATACATTTCCTTATACTGCTTCAACTTATATGTGTAGTATTACTTTTATTCTTCAAGAAGCAGTGTTATGTTACTTAATAGTGTTAATTATCACTACAGGTTTTTACTATCACTAAAGGTTTAGTGATATTGCAATTTTTTTTCACAATCATTAAATATTCTGAGATGATGAAATTCCTGTTTTAACTACCATTGAAGAAGTAGTGATAGTGAAAGGTTTGTTCCATTTATTGTTTAGTGCATTATGCCCAACCCGTATCAATAAACTGTGTGTCATTTTTGAATTATTTCAGTTTTTTTTGAAAATTTTGGCAGATGCAACCCTTCAAAATAAAAATTATTTTTCGAAATTACACTTGAGTCCGGCCAAATAGTCTCAAGATTTGCCCAAAGAGGACTCATAGCTTACATAACCCTTGAAAAGATTTTTAAAAAATTATACAGGATGGTCAGAAATTTGCGCCAAATTTCCCTATCTCGAAAAGTCGAAAACCATTTTTTTAAATAGCAACCCCAATTTTTTCCTTCACCAGCGTATTGTACGCTGAAAAATAAGGGAACTTTGTCATTACAATATTAATTAACCTAACTCAAGGCTGAATTTCTACACAAAATTCTAAAATCCCAACTCAACCAGGAATTTATAACCCACCCTCAGCTCCATGCCCAAAGTGAGATCAAGTCGAAACTTTAAAGTGATTTTTCGATAAATTTTACACTTTTTCTTTATTTGTAACGGCTTATTTCAGTAATTTTCGTCGATTAAAAAAAAAATTGTCAATTTTTAAGTTTTACAAGATGATTCTTGAATTATACCCAAATCTAAATAATTTAATTTAATTTTTTCATAGTTGGAATGAATGGATAAAACTTCCATTAAGATTTTGCGACTTACCTCGTACAACTTTATTAGCAATCACAATCTGTGATTGCGGCACAGGGGGTGAAGCGATTGCAATAGGAGGAACAACGATTCCTCTTTTTAGTAAATACGGATTGTTTCGAAGGGGGTCAATAGATTTAAGAGTTTGGCGTGGTCGAAGCGCCGACGGTAACGATCCAAGCGTTACTCCAGGGAAAGATATCAACGTTTCCGAGGAGGGAAAACGCTTGGCTAAGTTAAAAAAAAAATATCAAACCGGTCGAATTTCCGAAATAACTTGGTTGGATCGCTTAACTTTTCGCGAATTAGAAATAATTAACGAACGAGATAAGCGACAATCAAATTGTATGTATTTATTGATTGAATTCCCTTCGACAATCGATAACGATGGAACTTTTTATCACGTTGTTTATTTCGAAGAAGAAGGAAGCGAAGTTTTACAATTTAAAGCCCAAGCGGATATCGTAACTTGTCCCGATTACGAAATTAACACCGAAAATTTAATCGAAAGCAAATATCACAAGTTATCTCGTTCGCATCGAAGCGTACATTCAGATCGAGATGCAAAACCCAACGCGATTTTACGCGATAAACTCAATCAAATTGTCGCGTATTCAAGTACGGTTCAACTCTCGAATGAGGAACAAGACAACGTTTGGAGATATCGCTTTTATTTAAGCAGCCAAAAAAAAGCTTTGACTAAATTTTTAAAATGTATTAATTGGGGGCAAAGTGGCGAAGTAAAACAAGCTTTGGCTATGTTAGATATTTGGTCCCCAATGGATGTTGAAGACGCTTTAGAGCTTTTAGGGCCTAGTTTCACACATTCCGCTGTTAGGAGATACGCAATTTCGCGATTACAAGAAGCCCCCGATGAAGATTTAATGTTATATTTACTCCAATTAGTTCAAGCATTGAAATACGAAAATTTTGAGTTAATACAAGAAGGTTATAGGAGAGTTTCAGAACAACAACAAGAGTTATCATTGAATGATGATAAAGAATCAATGTTGGAAAAAAAAGATAGTAAAGAAAGTAACAGCACGATTACAAATGAGCCACTATTAAATCGTTCGGCGAGTTGCACTCAAGGTGAAATTAGTTTAGGTTCGAGAGATTTCGATTCGATGCAACGCGCGATTACCGTACCGGAAGAGTTGATGCAAAAAATGAAACTAACGAGTGAGTCGAGTAATACGGATACGTTGCAAAGTGAATTGAAGGAGCAGGAGGTGCAAGATTTGGCGTCTTTTTTGATTAGTAGGGCTTGCAAAAATTCGTCGTTGGCGAATTATTTTTATTGGTATTTATTGATTGAGTGTGGGGATCAAGAGAATGTTGAAAAAAAGAAAGAAGCTGTAAATAAATTAATACTTGAGGAGATTTTTTTATAAAACGCAATAAGTCACGCGAAGTGTTTTTTGAGAAAACACAAAAATGTGTTTTTTATATGTTAGTTAGTCTTTTTAGATACAAATTACTCATGAAATAAGCTTTATCGCTGAGAATTCTCAAAAAGATCCTTGGATATGTTGCATTTTAAAAAAAAAGTTGAAACTTAAAAACTTAAAAATCTTTAAAATAGAGGAAGATAAGTTAATAAGGTTTTACTACAACATCTTTACAAGTCTTTGTAGTAACGTTTTCTTTTTCCTTCAAAACTTCGTTTGGTACTTTTCCTACTGTGGGGTTGAGGATTTTCCCTTTTTAACATCCAGCAGTAGTCATCCATCATGTTTGTTGTGTTCTGTCAATAAAAGTCAGGATTTTCGCTACTACTTTATTGAACAAAACTAGAATTATTTTATTTTACAGTGTTCGTAATCACTTGTCTTAACATGTCATTCTTTATCTTGCATGTTATACTTCACACTGGTTGGCATTGCCAACCTAATATACAGCAATGTTAACGTTTCTGGTATCTGCGTTCAAAAATAGTTAAGATGAGAATGAAGGAAATAAACTTTAACACTCATGTTGCAGCCCAACAGTTTATAGTTATTTAATAGATTGGCAACAATATTCTTGTAGTTTGGGTCATTTTTATTTCCTAGGAAACCAGTTACCACTTGTTTAACCTTTGAGCGGGCGCGCTGTCATAAAATGTATGACAATTTTCGTTTTTATAATATATCTCCTTATATTATGCAGTTGAAAGAATTTAACGCTAAATTCTGACGATGCACGGCTAAACCGGAAACTTTCTAGTTCTAGCTCTAGTGTTAGTTCTAGTTAGTGATGGAACGGATAGTGACTTTGACGAAAAGCCGGATACCAGATATTCGGCATCCTCTTCGGCCGGATATCCGGTTATCCGGGATATCTATCCGACCATTATGGTTATAATTTCTGGTGCATTTCTGAAGTGATACCCTATATTGCCACATTATTTATGCGATATTTGAATAAAGATGAAATTAATTACAAAGCTGATAAGATATGTCAACTTATTTGGATCCAAGATACAAAATGAACTTTTTTGATACTGATTTAATATATCGTATTGGAATTGTTACAATGATAAATAAAGTTGTATTCAATGAAAAAAGTCTTATTGGGATTGAACTTGATTATGATCTGCACTAATTCCTGTGAATGGTGGAGTACTAAGTAATAGGTTTTAATATCCGGCCAAAGCCGGATATTTGGTAACTATCCGGTAGGGCGGATTTTAAAAAAGTGCCGAATACCGGATAGTTGCCGGATATCCGTTCCACCACTAGTTCTAGTTTTATACTACTACTATCACTAGACATAGAACTAGAATCATTTGGGTTTAGCCGTGCTGCTAAATTTGAATGTTTCTAGTTCTAGGTCTAATTTTAGTTCTATTCAAAGGTGGGCACGGGTACTGAATGAAAGTACCCGGGTAACGGGTACGGGTACTTTAATACTATTCGGGTATCAGATACTTTTTACGAGTACTTTTCACAATTTAAAGTACCCGGGTGCTATTAGCGGGTACTCGAGTACGGGTATTTAAAAAAAAATAGATAGCTCTTGGCGTCTTGGAGTTAGGACCATGTTGGCCAATGAGAATAACCTTTCGATAGGTGCCGATGATGGTAATGGTTTTAGAAACATTTTTTTCAATGTTTATCATCTAAATATCGTAGTAGTTCTAACTTAACTTTTGGTCCATAATGTTTAGTTTGCTTAATGTTTTTTTGTACTTCACTTTCATTAAAATCAAAGTAGTCATCTAGATTCCTCTTTTAAGTCTCCTGCTGCTCGCACTATAAATTTTTTAATTTCACCAGTGCTTAAATTTGGGTTCTTCATACCTGACAACCATGTCAATTTAAAATTTGGTAACAATACACACGCACCTATGGAATCGTAGCTCTTCATAAGAAAAATGGTTGAAAACCTACTCTGCAATTTTTCAATGCACATATCTATGATGATATCTCATATTTAAATTTATTGGAGAGTTTTAGTTTTTCGTATTTATTGCGCAATGAAATTAACGTTGGTAGTAGGAAACCAAATTAAGTGTTTTTTTCAGATTGTAGTAAGTCGAGAGCTTCTGCAAGAGGTTTCATAATAGTTGTGTACTCTTCCAAATATTGAATTTCAACTTCATTAAAACACTCCATATTGAGTTTATTGAACAGCATTTGAAGAGATCCTTTGTATTTTGTTATTTGTCCTACCGAATCGTACATTGATTCCAGCGTGTTATAGCTGGCGGATTTAAGTAAACACATTGTTTTCTTAACAATTTCAGCACTTTTTGGGCAGCTACATTTTTTCCAAAGTTCACTACACTTTAAAAAGGTTTTTGTATTCCTGCTTTTTAACGTTGGATTTCTATTAACAACACTCTTACAGTCCGTAGTAACAATTAAGTTAAGCGTATGACTCGGCAATTTATGCGATGTAGTGTCTTCACTTTCATCTACTTCAATAGTATCTATTAATTATGCATCGTCATCTATTGGTCATGTCGCTTCGTTAATGCCAAATTCGCAAAAAGCTTTTACAAAATTTGATCCATTATCCGTTACGGTGCCTACATGTATTTTCTTTATAATACCATAACTTAGTTGTATTTCCTCTAAATATTCGGCAATTGCATTGTATGTATGCACTCCTTTAAATCTGCGACAGGATATGGCTGCAGCTTCTCTTCTTCCTAGAAAACTTCTGTGTTTTGTAGACCAAACATCAGCGGTTGGACAAATATAAGTTTGGTTTTTGATGATATTTTTTATGCGTCGTTGTTGATTGTTATAAATATTTGAAAGTTTTGCTGTTAGTGCTTTTCGGGTCATTATTTTGTGGGGAGTTAGACCATTAAAAAGTCGTTCAAAACTCTCCTTCTCAACAATATTTAACAGAGACAATCTGAGGTGTTCCTATCACCCCCTGCTTCTACTATACTAGAATATTCAATAAAGTTCAAAAGGAAAACTTGCTTCAGGATTTTTTTTGCTATTTTGAGACTTGAGTAATGTTTCCTTCATACAATTCACCCAAGTTCTTGGAACATGTGGCTTCAAAAGTATTATTATCATTCTCAATACTCATCTCGATTTATTCTGTAATTGAAACAACTCTATAATTGATACCAAAAATTATCTAGATCAAGGGGGGTTATGGAAAAGAAAATTTCTATGGCTATGAAAAAGTGAAAAAAGAAACACAAGTGTGAAACACTGAAGATAAATCAGAATCTGAACATGGTCCAGTGAACATAATTTCTTGAATTATGTACTTTATTATAATCTCTTCTTCCAGGAGATGTCCACCTTTAAACAAGCATCTTTTTATTGTACTCGGGTACGGGTATTCTTCGTTGTTTAAATGTATCTGGGTAACGGGTACTTTAACAACAAATTACCCGGGTACCTTCTATTCCCGGGTATTTACCCGAGTACAAAATTACCCGGGTACTGCCCACCCTTGGTTCTAGTGATAATGGTAGGTAGCGCTAGTTAGCATAAGATATTACTATGTAGTTTATTTTTATTCAACTAAAACTAGAACTAACACTAGACCTAGAACTAGAAAGTTCTCGAAAATTCGTACGCCTAAACCCGAATATTTCTAGTTCTAGTATTAACCTGATGTCATAAAATTTATGATACGCGCCCGCTCGTGTTTTAAAATCGGGCGCGCCCGCTTGATGGTTAAAAACCTTCCATGCTTTCCTTTCCTAGTCTTCCATTTTCAACTCGAAGTTTTCATCCATCATAAGTTTCCTTATATCAGGACCAACAAATATCCCTTCTTTAAGTTTTGTATCAGAGAGACCGGGAAACCACAGAGATATCTGAAACACCCTCTTTCTTTAGGCAATGCTTTGACGAATTATTTCATCAGTCCCAACTTGATATAAAGTGGCGGTAGTACAATATTTTTACGATCTACTAATCTCTCTTTTTCAACGTTCTTAACTCCAGGAACGAAGATTTTTCTTTCTGGCCATTCTTTTTTAGCGTAGTCTTGTTTACGGCTATCTCATTCAGAAAGAAAGCAGGGGAACCTTGTGTAGCCACTCTGTTGTTTTTGACATGTACAATACTAACTATAATATTCTACTGCCGACATACAGTGTGTTACTGTTGTTTTTGACAGTTACTCTCACTATAGATAAATTGTGGGTCTCCACTTGAGTACAAGGTGAATGTAATATTGAACTGTTTTGTTCTGAAGAATTTGAGAGACGGTTTGCAAATCTCAATAATCTTCAATCGATTTTTGAATTTACTTCATTTCCTTTTGCAGAATTCGATAACGAGAATATTTCATCAAATCTAACTAATACAGTGTGTTAATTAATTATCGTACCCGACGTCATCATTGCAAGTATGCAACCAATATCACAGTATTAGTGTTGCAATACGCGCTTTGCGTATTTGGTTGCATATTTGCAATGATGACGTCGGGTACGATAATTAATTAATTAACACAGTGTAGTTCGTAATACCATCTATAAGCCAATTTTTTAAAATATGAACATATTGCGTTTTATAAAGAACCTCCTCATTTCTAATAATTAATTTTTATTAATTAATTTAATTTTTAGAATTTAGTTCGTGATACTTATGTAACGGTGATGAAAACATTCTCGCAAACATTAGCTCGTGGAAGTCCAGAGATGCAAACGCGTCGAGACTTTTTAAATCGCCAACAAAAATTTATGGATAAACTTGTAAAATTAATTAAAAAAGTTTCCAGCGAAAACGTTAGTCGTAAGAAAAAAACGGAACGTTTACAACAATTATTGGCGGATTCTGATTCGTTAAAAATCAATTGGACTAATTTCGATCCATTTCCTTTTCCGCTCGACCCAGAAGTTCAAATTAAGGGTATTTTACCCGAAAAAGCGAGTTTATTTAAATCGGCATTCATGCCGTCGAAGTTACATTTCGTGACTACGAAAAATACCGAATACGTTGCGATTTTTAAACACGGCGATGATTTGAGACAAGATCAACTTATTTTGCAAATGATTACTTTGATGGATAAATTACTAAGGAAAGAAAATTTGGATGTAAAATTAACTCCTTATAAAGTTTTAGCGATTAGTACTAAAAATGGTTTTGTGCAATTTATCGATTCGTATACGATAGCGGAAATTGTGAGTACGGATCACACAATTCTTAATTTTTTTAAGAAACATCACCCGCAAGAAAATTCCCCCAACGGAGTTGCACCTGAGATTATGGATAATTATATTCGTTCTTGTGCTGGATATTGCGTTATAACTTATTTGTTGGGAGTTGGTGATCGACATTTAGACAATTTATTAATCACAACGCGAGGGGAGCTATTTCATATTGATTTTGGATACATTTTGGGGAGAGACCCAAAACCTTTACCTCCCCCTATGAAACTTAGCAGAGAAATGTTGGATGCAATGGGTGGAATGCAATCGGAATATTTCCAACAATTTAAAAAACTTTGTTTCACTTCATTTTTGCATTTGAGACGGTAAACTTATTTGTTAATTAATTTAACGCGTTTAGAACAATTTCTTTTAGTCATGGGAATTTGATGTTAAATTTATTTTCATTGATGGTGGACGCTAGCGTTCCTGATATCGCTTTAGAACCGGATAAAGCGGTGAAAAAAATTGAGGAAAAGCTCCAATTACAAAGAAGTGACGAAGAAGCTGTACAATTATTAAAAGATATGATCGATGAATCGGCGAGCGCTGTTGTTGATGTGTTTGTGGAGCAATTACATCGAATAGCTCAATATTGGAGGAAATAAATTATATATAAATCGATAAATAAATAAGAGGTTGCTTATAATTTATGCTATTTAATAGGCGTTAATTAATCGGCGCCTTTATTTTGTATTTATATCTTAAGAATGTAATTAATGTGATAGTGCAAAAAAATAAATGAATAGTTCGAATGAATTATTTTTTTGCTCCATCCTTTTTATTTAATTGGTATTTTTATAGTGTGTATAATGGAGTTGAGGAGTTAATAATGATTTCCTTAAAGAGAGTCGAGAGAATTTCATTTAACTTGATGAAAGGTAAATTTTGAATAATATTAAAATTGAAAACTAAAACAGTTTATTATTTTGCAGGGGAAAGAAATGATTATGAATAAAAAGAATCCTAATTGCCACATTATTGCAATAGTTGAATAAAAATGAAATTAATAAGAAAGCTAATATAGTAGAAACCACGAGAGCTGGCAGTGACTTGACATTTAAAAATGATATGAATCAAGATATGGACGTACGACTTAGATTATTTCACCACATACGTTTAAATGTATGTTAGGTTAGTAATGGAGGTTATATGTCAAACTTAGGAGAGGTTAAGCAGCGAAAAATCGTTAATATTAATTTATAATAAAATTTATGTAATTATTAATTTATTTAAAAAATGCTTTAAAAGGTTATTTACAGGTCGCAAGGGATTAAGTAAGTTTTATTTAAACAGTGGTTCGTAATTTATTCATTAATTATTAATTTATTTCATTTTCAGCTTGTGAAAACACTAACAGTTCAACGCTCACAAGACGTTTCGATTTGAGGTTATAATTAATAATTATAGAGTTACATCCCTTAGAAGAACAGACATACGTTTTCGAAGTGGCCATTTGAATTGTACAGCAGACATATTAAACTAATGCTATCTCTTTCTAACACACATTACTCTCTAGCGGTTTGTGAGTTTTAATTTACTACGTATGGCATTTGTAAGAGCGGAAAACGATGATTTACTGCCAGCTCTCGTGTCGTCTACTATATGTCAACTTATTTGGATCCAAGATACAAAATGAACTTTTTTGATGCTCATTTAACCCCTTCCCTACCAGAATTAAATTTTTTCGAAAACTGCTATTAGCAGTTGACTTTTGCGTAGTACTTAGCGACCGTCAAAACTATAGCTTTTTGTCAACAGGACGTAATAGTATATTAAAAAACAAGTTTCGTAAGACACGTTTGAAATGCACGAATTCAAGTTGAAAAACGAGTGGCGAAGCCACGAGTTTTTTAATGAATGAGTGCTTTAAGTCTTATGAAACGTGTTTTTTATGCTATTTTTTGTAATTCGCGGTTTTATCCTTTTTTTTTTAACAAAAATAAAATAAATTTTGACAATGTAGGGAAATAGGTATGCAGCAGTTGGTAACACCGTAACACTTGAAAATAGAAATTTGAATTGACAATTAGAAACTGTCAAAACACAAAATGTATTCACCTGACAAAAATGTTTCATGTACACCTCGCAAAATAAGAGAAATTGCTCAGAGTTCAATGACCTCATCATTGTGCACTTTGTATTCGATGCTAAGAACGTGTTTAAACATCTACATTGTCACATTGACAACTAGAAAAATTACTGACCCAATGTCACCAACTTGAACTGGTTCCATAAAATGTTACTAAAATCTCATTACAGCATCGGATGCTGTAAGGAGTCTCATTACAGCATCGGATGCTGTAAGGAGTCTCATTACAGCACCCGTTTGAGTACTGTTATAGCTTTCATTACCGTCGCGAATTACAAAAAAGTCTTTTACGTCCAGCTACGACAATCAAAGAATTTGATACTATTAATTTTTAATTTATTGTTATGAACAAATTATAAACACAAAATAATCAACATTTAATTGTTTTATCATTTCATTTCATGTTTAAATGCAAATTTATAATAGTACATGTGTTCAATATGTGAGGTTAAATCGATGTGACGTTAAGTTTTTGACATAACATTAAATGAATTCTAAATGTCATTATCCTGAATTTGGTCTTTTTATTAATTTATAACTTTAGAATACGCAGTTTTCGAAAAAATGTTGTTTGATACACGACAGCGAAATTCTTTTGCATTCTCGAACGATTTTTTTCGTTCTTGAATGCAAAGGTGTCATTTCGCTATCTTGTATCAAAAATAACTATTATAAAACGTCATTTATCACCCAGCGGCAAGGACAGTAGAATCTAACAGGACTGCTACATTCATTGTTGTGACAACCTGCCCGCAAACTACGTCACACCATTTTCCACGCCCAGCTGTTGTTATGGTCTATACTTTTGCTGTGTATTTTTAGAGGTTGTATCCTAGACGTATTCATATTATTTTTGAAGTTTTATGTTTTTAGACGTATTAATGTCTATCATATAATCTCTAAAACACAGACAGTTACCAGGCGTGGCAAATAGTGTGACGTAGAGTGCGGGCAACCAACCCGTAGTGGACTACATAAATATAATGGATGTAGCAGTCCTGTTAAATTCCACTGTCCTTGACCCAGCGGTACTTTTAAGTCCCACCAAGTCCCACTTAAATTCTAATAATCACGTTAGCTTTGATTAGCTGAACGACAAAGGGTTAACTAATGAAGTAACTCTAAAAAGAGGATATTTTTATTAATAATTAATGATATTTCCACAAGCATCCTTCAAGAAATCAATTTTATAGCGAATTTAGAATATTACACTGTGAAACATTTTCGGGGTCATTGTTTGGAAGGTTAGAAATTCCAAGTCAGGATGAAGGTATTTGGCCAGTATAGTAAAACCTCCAAAGGGTTTGGCGTTCTCAGCCCAAACTTTTTTTTATGACCTTTTATATCTCTTTCCTTATCTTGATGTTTGTTTGCTTAGTTTTTCAGTTATAACTCAAGAATCATTGATGATTTCTCATTTCCTTCTTCAGCAAAGACTAAGGCTTAGCTAAGGCTTAAATAAATAATTATCATTAATATATCCATGATAAAGACATTGGAAAGATATTTTAGGGGGAAGGGGCTGGAAGTGAATGTGGGGAAGACAAGGATGATGAAGTTTTGTAAGGGTGGGAGAAAATGAACAGAAAACTGGAGATGGGAGGGAAAGGAGATCGAGGAGGTTAGGGAGTATACTTACTTGGGGTATGTGTTTAGGGAGGATAACAGGGAGGGGTCGCATGTGATAGCTATGGCAAAAAAGGCGAATAAGGTGATGGGACAAGTATGGGGTTGGGGGAAGAGAGTCTTTGGAAGGAATGTGGCAGCGAGGAAGATTATGTTTGAAGGTCTGGTTAGCAGTGTGATGATGTATGGGGCAGAGGTATGGGGATGGAGGGAGCAGGGACCGCTGGAGGACGTGCAGGCTAGATATTGGAGATGGGTGCTTGGGGTGGCGAGAGAAACACCGGGGTATATAGTGAGGGAAGAGGTAAAGGTGGATAAGGTCAGGGTGGAGGCGGGCAGGAGGGCAGTGAAATATGAAGAAAGAATAGAAGGGAGGCCAAGCTGCGGGATCCTGGGGGAGTGTTGGAGGGAAATTAGAGAGGGAAAGGTCAGATATGGGAAAGGACACAGAGACAACTATTATAGACGAGCGGGCTACTCGGTAACGGAGATAAATAGTAGACGAAGGGTGGGTAGGGAGATGTGGAGGGAGTTGAGAGACAGGGACCGAGATGTGCAGAGACAGGAAAGAAGGACACAAATAAAAGAGGGAAGGTATAACGAAAGATACAGGGACATAATTACGGAGGGGCTGCCTAGATACTTGTTATTGGAAAGAGATGAGGAAGGGAAAAAGTTGGTGGCTAGGTTCCGTTGTGGAAACGAGGAGAGAGCCAACAAATACTGGATGGCCGATAAGGAGAGGTGGTGTAGGCTGTGCAGGGAGGAATGGGAAACGTTAGAACATATGTTGAATGGGTGCAGTGAGTTGAGGGAGGAGGAGATGGACCGAAGGCAAATCTTAGGAGAGGGGAGAGAGAGGAAACGATGGATGAGAATGGTGATGGGGGTGAGGAGACAAAGGGATGGGTGAGGGGATGATTGGGTCGAGGAGCCGAGGGCGTGGAAATGGAGGAAGAGGGTAGAGAGTGAAAATAATATTTGAATAATGTAAAGAATTTATTGTAGACAGATTGTTGTATACAATAAACTCTTAATCACTAATATATCCATGTAAAAAATTAAGTTGGACTAATTTTATCGACTGAAATCTTGAAATGTTCAATTGTCAAATTTCGAAAAAAAAAATTCTATAAAATACATATAAGATAAGTCCAAAAGAGCTATAGACCTGAGTCTTCCTGCCCGAAGAGTATTGATTTGATGAAAATTAACAAAAATTAAGGACAAACAAAGTTTAAAGAAGAACAAAGTTTATATGTTCATAAACATTGCTCTAGAATCTAGGCTTTTTCGATGGTGATTGTTCGGGGCTGGGAACTTCTGAAAATTCTTCATCATCAGGATAATCCATGTCTTCGAACACATGTCTACGCCACCAGCTCAGCGACTGTTTTCCTCTGTATCTGTGATTTGTTTTTGTCTTAAAATGAGATTAAAAAAAATGCATGCTACATGCATTGTTGTGACAACCTAAACTTGGAATTGTTAAGAATTTCATCAAAACTGTCGCCAAACGAGATTTTCTTGTGTTTGAAATTAATTTACCCGAGACTCAGCGAAAGTAAAATTAAAGAAGGTAGTTATAATAACATTAATTTGTTCAATTTCGTGGAAAATTCCAACTTTTTCAAACACATTTTAATAAATTCATTTTTTTCCTTTAGGCGTACTAAATGGTCCAGATATACGAAAGCTTATTAAAAGTGACGCATTCAACAATATTTTGATTGACGCTGAATTGAATGCTTGGAATGCAATTAAAGAAGTAATAGAAGGCTTGTCGGGAAGGCATCATTCAAGCAACTACGATGTTTCTGTCGCCAGAATGTTAACATTGTTCTCAAAAATTGGCGTCCACATTGAAAATTCACTATTTACATCATCATCTGCACTACTTCAGCAGACAATTGGCCACTGAATCTGATGAACAAGGCGAAATTAGGTAATATCTATGAGAGAAATATTTCTGTGCTATTTTATGATTATGCGATCAGATGGATATACGTAGTACGACATTAATAACTTAATAAATTTTAATTTAAATTAATGCATTTTATTAAATTGTAGGTAGACGAAATTACAGAAAGATTTACGGATGTCTCCTAATATAAGTTTGCAGTTTTTCGGAAGATTAAAAAGAGATTCACCCCACTTCACTTCAAATAGGGTAAGTGGCAACTTTTTTTTTAACATTTAAAGTTATTTCTTATCAATGATTAAGTTGGATTCGTTTCGATTTCGGGCAAAAATCTTGGAACCAACCCCAAACCTATATTTTCAACTAACTAGACGAACACATTGAAGTAATCTGTAGTAGATATTGTAATAATATTGGGTTCCACTCATAATTTTATTAATTAATTAATAAACAATAGTTTTGTTATAAGAAATAATTACAATAAAGAGGAAATAANAATTAATAATTGGTAATACTTCCACAAGGAACCTTCAAGAAATTAATGTTATAGCGAATTTTGCAAGTTATCGATGAAAACTGCAACCTCGAAAATTTTTTCAAAACTTCAAATATTGTTTTCTCAAAAACTAAAAGTTATTTTTCAAAACGAGTTAGTTCATTGGAAAGAGGACACTTTTATTAACACTTTGGCAAATTTTTATACTCATATTCCAAGAACTGGATTTTATACGAATTTTTAAAACTTAATCGGCGAAAAGTGCAAAATTTGAAAAAATTGTCGGTCTTTTCAAAAATTTATTTCTCAAGAACTGAAAGTGATTTTTTAAAACGGCTTGTTGCATTAAAAAGAGGATACTTTAATTAATAATTGGTAATACTTCCACGAGGATCCTTCAAGAAATTAAAGTTATAGCGAATTTTGCAAGTTATCGATGAAAATTGCAACATCGAAAATTTTATCAAAACTTCAAATATTGTTTTCTCAAAAACTAAAAGTTATTTTTCAAAACGAGTTGGTTCATTGGAAAGAGGACACTTTTATTAACACTTTGGCAAATTTTCATACTTATATTCCAAAAACTGGATTTTATACGAATTTTTAAAACTTAATCGGCGAAAAGTGCAAAATTCGAAAAAATGTTTGATTATTTCAAAAATTTATTTCTCAAAATCTAAAAGCGATTTTTCAAAACGGCTTGTTGCATTAAAAAGAGGATACTTTAATTAATAATTGGTAATACTTCCACGAGGATCCTTCAAGAAATTAATGTTATAGCGAAGTTAGTAATAAATGTGATGTTGTAATTCATCACAAGCGAAGAGAAGAAAACTAGACGAAACGTGTCGTATTGGGTTTGTTACAATGAGGTTGTTAATGACAAACCTGATATAAATAAAGTTGTATTCAATGAAAGAAGTCCTATTGGGGTTGAACTTGATTATTATCTGCAGTGTCCAACACTTAAAAGAGATACTAATTCCTGTGATTGGTGGAGTACTAAGTAATAGGTTTTTAATATCCGGCCAAAGCCGGATATTTGGTAACTATCCGGTATCCGGCCGGATTTTAAAGAATGGCCGGATAGGCCACATATATCCGTTCCACCACTACTCATTACTAAGAATCGTGATCACATGTTGGTGCCCAATGTTACTAAATTTGTTAATATTGACTTAGTTTTTCTCGTTTTCGCGTCTTGTTTTTTATTGATCTTTGTACATACCCACTTCATATTAGGCTAAATTACTATAATTAGTAAAAAAATACTAGATCTTTATGTCTGAGTTATCTTGTAATCACTAGAATCTCAAAAGAATAATAATTTTTATCAAAGATTTACTCCTCATGTTAAAAAAAACCAACTAAAACAAAAATGACAGATCACAATCTCACTTTAATCTTATAATACTTTATAGTGAACTTTAATAATTTTATTTCCTTTTTCTCAAAATTCATTCTTTATAATCAACATCAATACAAAAAAAGTTTTTCAAATCGACACAAAAGCACCATTTTCGCGTTATATTATAAAATAGTACAAGAATTAAGAAAATGGGATGAGCTAACATTGCTAATTTGCTAGGAAAAAAATATTTTGGCAGATTTTATCAACGTGATTGAAAAATTTAAAATACATTAAATAAAAAAGATTTTTGTTGATTATTTTGATAGCTCTTTATCTCTCCTAAAGATTGTATCTCTTACATCCCTCGTTCGTTTAATTGTAACGCGAGCAATAGAGACAGTACGCGCACCCTCATACTTCATGACTACACTCCGAGCTCGGATCATTATTCAACATCGTGACTGTTGTGGCGTTCTTCATCGTCGAACGTGTCGAAGCCTGTCTATGCATTCCTTTTAAACCCATCGTAAACTGATTCCGCATACTCGGACGACGTCTATTTAAGCCAGTACACAATAAAATTTCTCGCATACCCCTATAATAATATAAAAAGATTAATTTTTATCAAATTGATTAAGAAATCTTGAAAATTGGTTCAGAAAATTAAACAATAACTCACCTACGAAAGTTCCTAGATAGAAAAGCATAAAGTAGAGGGTTGATGCCCGAATTGAAGTAGGTTACGAGAAAGGTAAGCGGGGTGAAAAGGGCGCTGAAAGTGGTATAACCTCGATACTGCGTCGACCAGTACTGCCACATCTTTCTAGCGTGCAATGGTAAATTGCACAGGGCAAATGCTAATACCACGATAATTAGCATCCTAATTACACCTCGTCGTGCTCGTAATACGTTCTGACTGGAATTAGGATTTGGTAGGAAGCTTTGTTGAGCTGCGGCTTGAATTGATTGTTGTTTCGAATCACCATTACTCATCTAAAAAAAAAGAAAAATAAAAAACATTTAAATATCTAATAAAATTAATCCTATTTAAATCGTTTATTTGCATTTACGATGACAAGGCTTTTATTAACAATTTGCATGCGATTCCGGTTGGCTGATTTACTGGAGATGGCACAAATTTTACGGGGACAAAGATAAATTGTATTCAAGTGGCCTTTCGTGCTGCAAAGATAATTAAAGTCTGCCGGTTTCTGGCGAATGGGAAATTATTCGGAAATCAACCTCATCGCGGCCTCTAGGGATGTCAAGAAACGAGTTTGTTGCAATAAATGCACGCTCGTTTTAGGGCACGGAGAAATAAAAAAATACTTTGTACTTTAAAGTTGCTTAAAAAAATAATTTTAAACATCCAAAGTTTAGATCTTATAAAATAAAGTGTTTTATATTTGTGAAACACAGAGCTTTAATCCTTCATGCCAGTTCTTTCTTTCGTGGGGTTTCCATTATGGTTCGTGGAAATCTTCCCTTGTGTATTCTTCTAACGTACTCGTACCAGATAATTTGTTTTGTGTTGGAAATCCGGAATACTGTCTTACCTGCTTTAATAAGTGATGAGCTCCATAAATATTAATGACTGAATATGCTTCAGTTTAGTACAAAAGAAAGGCAGTCTTTTTTAATGTATTATCAATACCAAGATAAAGTTATGAATGATAATAATTATAAATTTATTTTTATACTATAAAATACTATTTACTGATGAATTCAGTTATGTATTTTTGGCCGTTCATGTTTTCTATTGTATATAATCCATGTAAAGTCGATATGAAGTAATTTTAAAGACCCCTTGACAGATACATAACCTCAATTTAATTTTTTTCTCAATTTCTTATTTAAATTCTTATTTACCCGGTTAAGGCTGTTGAAAATGATAATTTTAGCGTAGTAAGAATGGAAAGCAGCCGTTTTTGTTTGAATTAATGAAATTTTAGATGAAAATTCATAATCTCATGATTTAGGCATTTTGGGAATGCTCAAAATTTGCCGTTGAATAAAGAAGAAAATGATCAGATATCTGAAAATTAATTTAAAGAAGCATTAAAACTACAAGATTTCATAAATAAATATAGTTATTAAAAAAAATTAAATAATATTTAATCAAATTAAATTAGTGACATTTCAAATGTTAAAGTTGGTAATGTCAGAAAATTTTAAAAGCGAATTTCAAGTTAATGGAATTGACCAATCAGGAAACAGTATCTTTCAATTTTAACATTAAACAAAGGAAACTTAAAAATTTTAGTGTGGTTTTGAATTTGAGGGAGAACACACGCAAATTTTGTCTCCTCGAATATTTAAGCAACGTTTTAGGTTATGTAAAAAGATAAATGTTGACATAACCTCAAAAAATTTGACGAATTTCTCGGATTCGAAGAAAAGAAATAATAATGAAGAAACATCATTTTAGTTCCCGTTCCTGACAATTTTTGAATCCCGTACCGTAGACTTATTTATCCTATAACCAACAGACTAAGCTAAGTATTGTTATTTTTAATTATAAATTTTCATTTTACATAATTATAAATAAACCAAAAAAACATTGCGGAATAATTAAAGAATACCTGTCCCACTTAAAAATCGATGATTCTTTTTTTAATCGGCAGGAAATGACTCAAAAGATGTGTTAATGATAAAAAAAAAGTGCGGAAAAGTGTAGTACTTACCGAAAAATCACTTTAAAGTTGCGATTTGACGTTTCTTTTTGGAAGTTCAAAGCAATGTTAAAATTGCATTTTCGTATTAAATCCTAACCTGAAATTGTTTAATTTATACCCACGCACAAAATAAAAAGTTATTTTCACTAAACTTGTTGAGATTACAACATATTTTCGGATGAAAACCTTGTTTCTTAGGCTATCGATGCAGAACGACAATTAAATGTCGTTAGATAGAATTGTTTCTACCAAATGTGTATTAATAGACTTTGTGTTAATAGATTGTGTATCAATTGATCTGTCAAATGACTGAAAGCTGAAATATCTTTATGTTGTAAATATAAATGATAAATAAGTATAGTAGCTTATTTAATAGTAGTTTAGTTAAATTAAAATAGTTATTAAAAAAGACATGCTTACAAAATAAAAATAAATAAATAATCCGTGTGACGATAGCAACAAACTGTGTATTTAACCAAATGACAATTACAACTGACAACACAAGCAATGTTAACCATGTATTTTCTCGTATTAAATCCTAACCTCAAATTGTTTAATTTATACCCACGCACTAAATAAAAAGTTATTTTCACTAAACTTGTTGAGATTACAACATAATTATTCATAATGACACCTATGTGTATAGTATTTTAATTATAACATGAGAACCAGTGAACCGATTTCGATAAACAATGTCTCATTCGAAAGCTTAATCTTTGGCCAATACGAAAGTGGAAATGCCCGATTGACGATGTGACGATAGCAACTATAGCAATAAACCTTCCAACAACAAATTTTTATCCGCAATTTCCTATCTATTTTATTAGCTGATATCTTTCTTATTATTAGATATAGCAGAACACTAAATGCACCATATGAAAGCTTGATTCTTTCTTTATGAAATCGTCGGTCCTCGTTTGCCGATATGTTAATATTAAAATCAATAAAAGATGAAGAACACCGCTCTGTACGTAAAATAGCTTAATATTACCAAACTTCAAGCCCTTGTGCAATTGTTATCAAACCGAATTTTAAAAAGCTGTGTTTACAATCAGAAAGAACGCTCCTTCAAATATCTTAATCCGGGTTTTTGTTGGTCAATATCAATTAGCATTATGGTTAAATCACCTTTAATATACATCTCTATATACAGAAACGTTTAATTGCTCTACCTCTAAACAACTTTCTTACATATTTGATATGAGGAAAACTATAGAAGCATATCATGAAGTTATAGACTTACACAAGGACGTTTTTGGTTAAAAAATTACCAAATTCACACGTTTTAGCTACTTTTAAACATTGTTGGGATCAATAACTTTCTTATATCACCAGGAAAAAACTCTATAACCAAGCAGCGATAGCCGCGTGTTATACACCATTAGAAAGAGCAGCAAATTGTAGATAAGATAGATCTATACTTCTATAGTTTTCCCAATATCAAATAAGAAACTTGTTTAAAGGAATAGTAATTAAACGTTTTTGCGTGTAGGGATGTATATTAAGGGCGATTTAAGCATGACGCCGATAGACCCATTTACCAACGAAAACCCGGGTTAAGATATAATAAATTTAAAGAGCGCTCTTTCCGAGTGTGATAATAGTTTTTTAAAAATCGGTTTGATAACAATTGCACAAAGGCTTGAAGTTTGGTAATTTTAAGCTATTTAATCTAAGTACAGAGCCACCGCTTTGTAGTTTAAGTACAGATTGATCTTAGTATTAACTTATCGACAGACAAAGACCGGTTTTAGATAGAGAAAGAATCTCTAATTATTATCTCGAATTATCTCTAATAATAAGAAAGATATCAGCTAAGAAAGTAGATAAAAAATTACGGATACAAGTTTGTTGCTATCGGACAAATGTGGAGGAGGCTGAAAACTAGAAACATAAAACTAAAGAAAATTCCAATATTTTTCAGCACCACATAAAGACTGAACATAATATAAATTATGGAGGAGTTGAGCTTTTTCATTCGTGTAACAAATTATAAAGATAATAATAACTATCTACTTATGAATGAACAAGTTCAACTTTCTCATAAACCCATCTTACGTCATACACCCTACGTTATGAACTTTTGATGTTAAAACTTTGTAACTACGAAAGGGATTTTCATCAATAATATGTGTTATTAAGTTCCAAAATAACGTTAAACTAACTAATAATTATCCTAATTATAATATTTAAGTGGTTTGAAGTCTTTTAATAACAAATTTTTATTTAACTCTCATGCTCTCTATTTAAATGCGATAACAGATTATAAACATTTCAAATAGATTTTTAGAATCTATTTGTATCTTATATTCTATTCAATTTCTTTTTTCGAATCTATCTTTGCTCCTATCTGGCGACGCTCTTGTACATAGTTAATAGACACACAGTCTATGTAACGACAGGCACTTAATCATTATGACCTATGCGAAGTTAGCTCCAAATTTTTCTAGCCCCCAATTAGATAGGATTTTACATGTATAGTATTTTGATTATAACAAGAAAACCAGTCAACCGATTTCGATAATCAAAATCTCATTCGAAAGCTTAATCTTTGGCCAATACGAAAGTGGAAATGCCCGACTCGAAATCTCTCGCGGGGTCATTTCAATGGCTGTACGCACATAATTAGTAAATTTTGAAATCGGGCATTTCCACCTTCGCATTCATTGCAGATCATACTTTCGACCGAGATTTTGATGACTAAAATTGGTCAATTAGTTACGGAGATAATTGATGTGTTTAATTAATTCGTTTGTTGTGTTTTAATCAAAATCCTTAAATATTTCGAATCGGGCATTTCGACAACAGCATTCAGCCAGACACAAACTTTCGATTGAGATATAAAACATTAAAATCCGTCAAACTGTTCTCTAATTATAGTCGATTTAGTTTAAATTAAAAATTAATTAATAGCACGAGCGTTCACACGTGCATAAACAACGAGCCGAAGACGGTGTCATTCCGAGGGCTGTATAAACTTAGCGGGAGAGAATTGAAATCGAGCATTTTGTGATTTCGATAGAAGACACTATGACGAATCGAGTGACGTATAGATTTTGATCATCGGGTACATCGTTTACGAGTTATCACCACTTAAAGAAGGTCAATTTTGTGTTATTTTCGTGTATCTTCGCATTATTTTGACGTTTTAGCGAAATTCGAAAGAGTTTTCAAATCGGGCATTTCCACTTTCGTATTGGCCAAGGATTAAGCTTTCGAATGAGACATTATTTATCGAAATCGGTTCACTGGTTTTCATGTTATAATCAAAATACTATACATGTAAAATGCTATTTAATTGGGGGCTAACTTCACATAGGTGTCATTATGAATAATTATGTTGTAATCTCAACAAGTTTAGTGAAAATAACTTTTTATTTAGTGCGTGGGTATAAATTAAACAATTTGAGGTTAGGATTTAATACGAGAAAATACATGGTTAACATTGCTTGTGTTGTCAGTTGTAATTGTCATTTGGTTAAATGCACAGTTTGTTGCTATCGTCACACGGGTTATTTATTTATTTTTATTTTGTAACCATGTATACACATGTCTTTTTTAATAACTATTTTAATTTAAGCAAACTATTATTAAATAAGCTACTATACTTATTTATCATTGATATTTACAATTTAAAGATATTTTAGTCGTTTGACAGATCAATTGATACACAATCTATTAACATAAAGTCTATTAACACACATTTGGTAGAAACAATTCTATCTAACGACAGGTAATTGTCGTTATGCATTGATAGCCTAAGAAATAAGGTTTTCATCCGTAAATATGTTGTAATCTCAACAAGTTTAGTGAAAATAACTTTTTATTTTGTGCGCGGGTATAAATTAAACAGTTTCAGGTTAGGATTTAATACGAAAATGCAATTTTAACATTGCTTTTAACTTCCAAAAAGAAACGTCAAATCGCAACTTTAAAGTGATTTTTCGGTAAGTACTACACTTTTCCGCACTTTTTTTTTATCATTAACACATCTTTTGAGTCATTTCCTACCGATTAAAAAAAAATTCATCGATTTTTAAGAGGGACAGCTAATCTTAATATATGCCCAAAAAAACATTACGATACTCTAGTCAATAACTAAAATTGCAGAAAAATATTGCAATAATTCTTGAAAAAGAAAACACCTTTTTTTCAGTACTGTGTACACGGAACACGTATATCCCGTAACACACAACAGAATATTATTGGGACATATATGTCCCGTTCCGTACATGTATCGATTCCCAAAAATATGTTGCCGCAGCAAACGTGTCAAAACAATATTTACCGATTCGTTTCAACCTCCTTCAGAAACAATTTCACAAGTTGAACTATCTCACATAGTTGAAATAAATTAAATTAACAATAAATACATCTTTTCTTATAACAAATATTCCAATAAAGTTATTAAAGTTTCGTGTGGATGAACACTCACCTAATTAAACAGATTTCAATAACCAAATTTAACAACAAATAAACTTACATATTATTCATCGCAGTTTATTATACCTGCGTTTACGATTCATAAATTTCCCCATTTTCATATGAATTATAGCTTTCCGATTCACCGAGTGCAACCGTTCCATATCATTCAATGTCAAAATTAGATAGTTAATTAAGCACAATTCTACCCAATTCGAATGTTGGGAATTCATCCTCAATTAAAATTGAATTTGATATATCAACTTAGTGTTTACAATAAAGATTAATGCGTTAATTCGTAACGATTTAAATGTGTTTAAAATGATTTACGAACCAATCTTATTTAAAAATACCGAATTACAAGTTGCATGTTTGCAAACTTCGCGGAAAAGGCGAAAAAAGTTTTTTTTAGTCAAATAAAAGTTTTCACGCGAGCTAACAGAAAGTTTAAATAACACCTAATTATTTACAATTCCTAATCGAAATATTTTTTTCTTCTTTATGTATTGTAAAGTATTAAAATTTAATAATTTAAACGTAATTCGGAAACCTATTCATAACAAAACGTTTTTAATCAAACTCTTTACCAACTTAATATTTCATTCTCACGTTTCCGATTTGAATATGAAAAGAGAAATTTTAAAATCGCGTACCGAGTTTAATAGAATTTCATGTTGGTCCAAGTAATAGTCTAAAGTGTACTTTCTTCTGAAAGGGGAAACATTTCAACTCACACTTCCTGAATTCTATTCGTACTACTCTAAAAACCCCCTTTTTCGTTGCTTTTTATGTTCTACTCCTTGCATTTTAAAAATGGCGAAAACAAATATTAAAAAAAATTGTTTGAATTGTCAAAGGATTTTATTCTTTTAATGTAAACAATGATTCTCGTTAGGTATTCAGGCTTTGATCATCCGCCGCTTTCATTTTATGACGCGTTTTTATAGAAACCACTTTATTATTTATGCAAATGCAAAAGTAGAATTTAAAAACAAAAAAAAAATTAAGTGGTAACATTTTTTTTAATTAGAATTCGTTGCTTTTAATCCATCCAATCCAACCTCCTTCATAATGACGAACACTAAAATTAAATAATTAATTAATTCAACATTTGTTTAATTTAAATTCATCTTTACTTTTTAAATCCCAAATTTTTTGCTAAATCTAAAGCTTGTTTACTTCGGTTTCCTGTTCTACAAGTAAAAACTAATTCTGTTTCAAAATTAGGTCGAGTTTTTCCGTAATTAATATTGAAATCTTCATTTGACATTTCTTCTAAGACATATTTTAAGGTTTTCACTAAAAAAATTATTATTTAATAACGCTAACTATCTAGAACTATTACTAGAACTAGAAACATTAGGGTTTAGCCGTGAGTTTCTTAAGACGGCTAAACCCAAATATTTATAGTTTTAGGTATAGTGTTAGTTGTAGTAACAGTGCTAGTGTAAAACTAGAACTAACATAAATCTGTAAAGTTAACTATGGTTAAGTTACATTAGATGCAGAGAGTTAAATTATTAATAAGTTTAGAAATTTTAATGCTTGGTATAAATTGTTGGATTGAATTTCCCTATTGAAAAGTGGATTGAAATCGCTTTTGTCCTTGCAAAGAACAAAACTTTCAGCGAAATATAACTAATGACTTAAATGCAACCAAACTATTCAAAGACTAGTTTAAATTTATAGTGTAGTTCTATTTATGTTAAGTCTCGAGATTGCACAATTTAATTTTAGTAAATTTAATTTAATTGATTGAATCTCAACATGTGGTCAACTTTGTTAAACTTCTCAATTTACTAGTCACTTCTAAAGTTTCGTCAATTTGATTGCAAATGTGGACAATCTAGCCGATTGGCCCTTCCCGGAAGAAGGGTTTCTGGACTATAAAAGATGCGTATACCTCTTGGCCTACATCACTGTTACATCGACAACCAAACTGTATAGTTACAAAATTCTATATCAAATTTAAAAAGAAAATTTAGTGGCAAGATTTTTCGCGTAGAGAATTTAACGATGCATCGATTCGTTATGATTCTGGTTGTTTTGGTTGCTTTGGAATTGGCCACAGCCCAATTTAATTATTCACCAGATTGGGGTAAAAGAAGCCAGGGTAATTTTCCGGTGAATAATTGTAAACCTTCAATGGACGCTGCTCTCGTTGTTTATAAAATTATTCAGGTAAGAGAGTTTTTTTTTAACAAATTCAGTTTCATTAACGCGTTGTTTTACTTCATTTTCCTAAGTTTCATTGTATTTCTGTTTTAGACTGAAGCTCAAAAGTTGATTGAATGCGACAAAGGCGTTAATTAGTTGGTGAATTTCAAATGTTCTCGTACAATTAAATAAAATTGATAAATATGCAAAATTTGTTTTACTTTTTTAAGTTTATAACCTTTTTTTTTGTTAATTAATTTATTAATAAGTCAATATTTTTGATATAAATTATGTAAAAAATTAGATATCTTGATTTAGGTTATGTTTAAGAATTTTTGCTAAAGAATCCTTTTTAAACACTTTGAATTAATTCATCTTTTATTGTTGTTGAAGTGATGTGAAAATTTTGTATTTTGACTATTTTACAATTTATGGAGTAATTTTTGCTTTGCAGAAAATTTGCAGAGTTTCAAAATCCAGAAATCAGAACAAATTCAATAAATGAATATCAGAAACTGTTCTATTTCGAGATTAGAGTGATCATAAGACCAAGTGTACAACAAGATTCTGATCTTTTTTGTAACATTTTTTGGTGCTCAGAGGTTCCACAGAGGTGCTGCTTACGAGTTAATATGTTAAACTAAAACTACAACTAACACTAGCTCTATCAGTAGAATTAACACTAGACCTATAACTTGAAACTTTCGGGTTAAGTGGTGCGTCTTTTGAAAAAATGTTTGACGTTTCGGATGCCATGTTGCAAGCTTCTTCAGAAGCAAGTTCAAAATGTCACTTAAAAACATTTCAAACATTTTTTCAAAAGACACACGGCTTAACCCGAAAGTTTCTAGTTCTAGCTCTAGTGTTAGTTCTAGTTTTACACTAACACTGTTACTAGAACTAACACTATACCTGAAACTAGAATCATTCAGGTTTAGCCGTCTTGAGTGACGTGCGGCTAAATCCGAATGTTTCTCGGTTTACTCTGTTACTAGAATTAACACTATACCTAGAACTCGAATCATTCGGATTTAAATGTCACTATGTCGCCCAAAACCCAAAACTTTCTAGTTCTCGGTCTAGTGTTAGTTCTAGTTTTAGTTCAATAAAAATATGCAATATAGTGATATCTAGTGATAACTAGCGCTACCTAGCACTATCATAAGAACTAAAACTAGACCTAGAACTAGAAACATTCTGGTATAGCCGCACGTCTCCCAAGATTGCTAAACCCGAATGATTCTAGTTCTAGGTATAGCGTTAGTTCTAGTGACAGTGCAAGTGTAAAACTAGAACTAATACTATAACTA